AGCTCAAAACCTCAAAATCCATGTAGGACACTCAATGTATTTAATATGAAGGTACTACTGAAGTACAAGAATCGAGGAAGATTAATATAGACAATAGGTGAGGTGTGTTCATGTTTGATACCATTCTCTTCGTAGAATGTATCAAACTCTCTATTAAAGTATTCACCACCTTTGTCTGATCGAAGTATTTTGATTCGTTTTCGAGTTGATTTTCTATTTCAGCTTTATATAATTTAAAAGCCTCAAAAACTTCATCTTTTGAGTGTATAAAAGTGACTAAAGTCATCACATAATGTAATGAAATACGTTTTACCTCCTAGGGTAAGTATTTCATTCAATTCACAAATATCAGAATGAATCAACTCTAAAATTGATGTGTCTCGTTTAACTGATGGAAAAGGTTTATTTGTAAATTTTAATTTTACACAAGTTTCACATTTTCCAAAACTTTTATTATCAATTTTGATCAATCCTTTATTTTTCATTTTTTCAATATTTTTGACATTTGTATGAGCTAAATGTCTGTGCCATAATGAAATAGAATAAGAAAAATACTCCAAAGAATTAATTTTATTCATAGCATCGGGAATTACATCAATGGTAGAAACAGAAAAATCAAAAACTTCATCAGACATAGCTAACACATTACTATCCACAGATTCACTAGGTTCGGCCTCCACATGATCATCACCACTCATATTTAGGCGATACATACCCAACTGGTAGTATCCTTTTCCAATAAATGTCTTCTTTTTTTAAATCGCGGGCTTTCTTCCTCAATGTTTAGTCCAAACCCGTTTCCATCGAGTTCGCTAGCATAAACGAGACTCTTATTAATAAAAGCACGTGAACAACATTTTTGAGAGTGACGGTCATCCGAAAGTGAACTTGAGTAGCACAATACCCATCCCAATGACATCAGCACGGCCGTTCTTTGCCATGATCATTTGTTTACCCTCTCGCACTGGTCCATCTTCAACAAACTTAGATCTGGAGTCACACACATGAACCGTGGCTCAAGAATCCAAGTACCAACCTCCTCTACCAGCTACAGTTCTGGTCAATGCCTCTGAAATCATATCAATCTCTTCCATGTGAAGATTCGCCATAAGGTTCTGAATCGCTTCAACAGAGTTTGCAGCAGGTGGTCCGGACTTCCTTGGTTTGCACTCACGAGCATAGTGTCCTGTCTCTCCACAAACGTGTCACTTTCCGACCCTCTTGAAATGATGCCCTGGATTAGATTGATGACCCGATTCTTGAAGTTTTTCCTTTATGGACCCAAGCTCCACTTTTTGTTTGGACATCCAGCCCTTCCCTTTCCTTTGCCTCCAGCCTGCACGTTGTTAGCACTCAACAGAGACTTACCTCTCTTCTCCCGATTACATGTCTCTTATTTGATCCATAAATTTTTTAATAAATCATCCAAAGAATAATCTTCAAATTTATGCATCATTCTTTTTGAAAAATCTTTCCAAGATGGGGACAATTTATCTATGACTGCCCTCACTTGGAAAATGTCAGGAAGAGGTATGGAAAGAGATTTTAATTTATTTACTAAAACTTGGAGCTCATGCACTTGCCCCAGAACTGGTTTATCATCTACGATTTGTGAATCTCAAGTATTGAGACATAATACACTTGTTTGTACTATCTTCCTGTGACTTATACTTGAATTCCAAGGATTTTTGAAGTTCTCTTTCCAAGTAATCGGATAGTAGAGATCAAACATCCGATCAGACAAGGCATTCTTTATGTGTCCCCGGGCCAAGGTTTCTTCCTCCTTGTTGGTTTGCCTCTTCTTCTCAAGTTCGGATATTCTCTTTCTGTCCAGTTCTTTTCCCGGTCGAGAACCGGATTTTCAGGAATGGGAGGGAGGTCTGAGTCCAAAATAAATTAAAGTTTTACTACCATTAACATGAATTTCACCTTGTCGGGTCAACGGGTATAACTAGTTCCGTCGAACTTTTCAAGTTTCATCATATCTCGGTTTTAGATACAGTAGTTTCTGGAATTCATGTATAAAATCTTAAGATTATCGAAAAAACTAAGATTGTATTAATAAAAAATTCAACAAAGTTCGAACCTTTATAATTAAAGTTTAAAACTTTATCTATAAATAAGAAAAACTTATCAAACTGAATCTTTATTTAATCAAGATGATGACTATAGAATCTGGAATATTTGAAACACGAACCGATTGATATCACAAAGACTAAAAACGATCCTTCGCGATAGAATTAGTAAAGAAAAGGGTAGAAGCAAACTTGTTCACTTAGTGAACGAAAAGTAAATTGCAAGACAATAATTAAAAAAACAACCTTTTGTGTCGTCAGGAAGCGAGTAAATATGCATGGTATGAACATGTCCTTAAGATTTTATATAACCACCGTATTAAGTTGTGGGGCCTTCTAGTCACAAAGCCCTAGAATCTGATGCACTCGTATTTCGTTTATCAACATCTTATGATAACGAAATTATAAACAAAGTTGATGTAGAAATCGTTTAGGAAGAAAATGGCACTGTGTGGTAGGAAGCAGAAAATCGATAAAGAGAGAATTGCAGTTTTTTCAAGTGTTTTAACAGAGAAAACGTTGGAGACTAAGTCTCGACCATATCCAACACGTTTTTATTAATTTAAATAATTTTTTTAAATTGAAATCAAATATACTGTGAAAAATCCAAAATTAATTACCGATAATTATCATTATATAATTAAGCAGCATTTAACTTATTCTCTATATAATTTGTACCAAAAATATACTCGGGAGCTCGATGCGGCATGAAAAGTGTGCCACTTCCCCAAATCCCACATTCTTGGCCACACGTGCTTTGAACCTTCCACTCATGACCCCCACCATAAGCCCACTAATATATTTAGAGCTCAATTGATGTAAAAGCCTTGTAAAGCTCTTTAAGTATTATCTTCCTTCCTATGTGGGATGAAGGGAAACCTCCAACCTCATAATAATTTCCTGCAATTTGTTCTACAGCAATACCGAAGGATCCACGTGATTGGGCAAATGAAGATAATAGACAAGTTGTCAATGATGACAAAGCCAAAAATCTCCTAATCATGGGACTGTCTAATCACATCTTCTTTTTTTTTTTATTAACCTGAATATCCAACTCATTTTGGAAGCCGACTAATCCCAGAGTGACTACCTGTTTTGCAGATAGCCCGGAGTCACCCCATTTGAACCTCCGTGGCCACAAGGGGCTTTTTATTCCTTCTTGGATTTATTTTTGATCTTTGGAGTCAAGCTCAAACCAATCAGGCACCACCTAATTATATCTTTCTTTTTATGGTAAATTGTAATTCTTTTGATGAACTGGATTTTAAGGAATAATATTAGTGTCCTGAAATTACACGATATTTGTTAGAAGGGATTAGATGACTTAAACCTAAAGAGTTTGTTTAATGTATTTGGTGACATCATCGAGAATGGTGGCGGTATGATGAGATGAGGGGTTGGCAAGTTAGGTTCCAACAACATGACAGTGGCTGCAATATTTTTGAGACAACATCATAACAACTACATTTTGGTTGAGAGCTTCATCTACATTTTGGATTTCGCATTCGCATTCGCTTTCTCACCAACAATGCAAGTTTTCTAAACATCTCCGTCGAGAAAGGGTTGGTAATTTAATTGTATTGCCATCCACCGGTACCGAACACGAGATTATGACTATTGAGAGAGTGTTTGGTTAAATGTATTAAACAATAATCAATGATAATAAAAACCAAACAACGTCTAAGTTTCAACACTAGTGTTAATGGGCAGTGACGAGTCATCAAACTACACTAGTGTTAATGGGCAGTGACGAGTCATCAAACTATGTAGACCATGGTAGGATGTGGTTCATTTGAGAACTAAAAAAAATTGAGAACATGAGAATGTTGTAAATTTCAATGAGTATATGCATCACTGCATATCTACTATTGATAGATATAGTCATTTACAAAATATATATTTTATAATATATAATGCATCAATAAATAAATATATAGGTTATTTGGTTCTCACTTCTCTTTTTGTTTTCACATCAACCTAAGGGGTGTTTGCTTTATAGAATGGAATTTGATGGAATTTGAATTCATCAAAGTAATTTGACTTTGAAGGAATTTGAATGGAATTTAACCACGCATTTGGTTGATAGAAATTGGAATGAAATCTCTCAAAAGATTTGGAACAATCGTCTTTGTTTGGACTATCGCACTTACACCCTACCAACCACCATGTCACACTGTCATCATCACAGCTATCACCCTGTCCCACCCCTAACTAAACCCACCCCATCCCCGCATCACCACTCCTGCTCTATAGGTGAAGGTTGTTGGGGACAGATAGGGTGGGGGTAGAGTGGGGTAGTGGTGGGTTGGGATTGGGGGTAGGATGGGGTGAGGTGGGGTGAGTGGCAATTGTAACGGCAACAATAATAGTTTGATGATGGGGGTTAGGTTAGGGGCATGACAGTATTGGTAATAGCATGGTGTAGTAAGAATTTGCAATGAGTGACCGAGGGTGGGTGAGTTAGATGACAACAGTAGTAGGGGGGGGGAAGGTGGGGGGGTAAGGGTAAGGCATGACAAACAATAGTAACATGGTCGTAGTAGGTGGTGATGGAATTCAATTCCTTCCATTACCCCAAGAAATAACAAATTCATTAATTTATGGAATTTAATATAATTTGAAGGATTTCATTCATTTCAAGAAATAAACCAAACAAAGAAATTGAAATTTAATCAAAGAGATTTGTCATTCCAATTCGTTCGAAATTTTACAAACCAAACGAACACTAATACTATTGTGGTATTTGGTATCTTCAGGTAAACCGTCCATTAAAGTCCGTACTACTTATCTTTATTGATCACAAACTTTAGGTATTCTTATTGTTGACTTGAGAAATCGAGAACACATGTAAAATTCAAGAATTCGTCTTCAAATAAATTAACCAACACGTAAAATTCAAGAATTCGTCTCAATGAACAAAACATATTTCTGTCTCGAAAGACCGATGAAAAACGTCAAATGATCACAATATTAACCAAGGACCAATTATCATATTTCAATACACAATGCAAGTACACAACTCAATTCCACATATGGCACAAGCAATCAACACCGTATATATGATGATACATTTAACCGCGGAGCCATCATTATCACGAAATTAACCATTCGCACGGAACAGGCTCCATCAATGATCGAGTTTCGAGTCAAAATGGTACCATGAAGGCAAACAAAAACTAGTTCTTACCTCCGAATGTTGATTCTGGATTGAGACAACTTTGAAAATTGGTTGTTTCTCTCGACACGAGAAAAACCATAAGCTGCAAGATCTCAACGAAGAATTGTATTGATATCATCAATCTACATACATGTCATCAGGTTTGTCCTTTTGGTTTGAACCCATGGCATCCTCATAATTTGAAGATGGACCCTTGTTTTTCATTACGTGCTTGCACATTCTGAAGTAACCAATGATGATAATATGTCAGCAATATTGTCAAAATAAGAGAAAAGCTAACGAGTTGAAGGGTCAAGGATAAAAGCAAAACCAACTCAACCCGATTAAATCCCACCACAATTAGGGTTTCAGCCTCTGGGCAGAGAGGTGGTTTCTGTGAAGACCTGCTGCTTGTAAAAAGGCCAAATATTTGATGGACTATGTAGAATTGCAACACTTCATGAGTTCCTTTTATGAAATGACTAAACTACCCTTTTCAAACTCTTTTGACCACATTAAATCATGGTAACGAAACAAGTTTAGTATCAGAAAATTGAAATTTCCATGCGCTTAACATGGGTTTGTTTGATTTTGAGTTATTTTTAAGACCCTGTTTTCAAATGGGATATTCTGGGTTTGTCTGGTCTGGTCTGGTTTGGTTTGATTTGGTTTTATCGATGCAGTTGGAGTCCCAAGTCGGTTAGACTTGGAATATTTCTCCTCCATATATGTTGGAAGTTCCCTTTTCTCCTAAATGGCTCTAATGCAGAGTAATCTAATGGGATCTACATATTCTCACATATGCAATTGGATTTCTCCAAAGAATAGATTGAGCCAACCAGGCAAGCTAGAGGTGATTTTAAACGAGCTCAGTTTGGACTTGAGTTCATCAAGTTTGGCCCAAGTTCAACCTGGCTTCAAGCTCAAACCGGCTATAATTACAGCCATTGTTTAACTAGAGTAAGGTAAATAAATTGATACTTTATCGGCTTATGCCATTAAATTATAATGCTTAAAGTAATATCAGTGACCAAAAATTACGGTTGAAACTTACCTCTCAAGAACCTCTGCTTTTCGATTAATTTCACTTGAAAAGACTATAGGGTCAGCATTTTTGGGCATTGAATCCTGCAGTTGGGTTTTCTCGCGCAACCACTGCTCAGCTTTGCTGCATTCACTGTAAACCTGCCCAAAAGATGAGAAAATTAGGGCCTGTTTATTAGGAGCTAACTGGGACTTTTATTCGGGCAGCTATACATGACTTTGGTAGTGACTTAATGATATAGCAAGTGGCTTATTCAGTAAGCTTATAGGGGGAGCTCTATGCAAAAAGCCAAGTTTTTTTTTCACACTTGCCCCTCCCAATCAAAACACACTCCTCCCATCTATGAAAAAACCCTCCCAAACAAAAACCTTCCCAATCTGATTAATCCACACGGACGGTTTTATCCATACAGGATCTAATAGAAAACCAACCAAATAGCTCCTTACTCACCGATGAGGTTGCTGACATCATAATTAGTGTTCTTACAATAGGAAGATTTCTACCCCACTATTCCAAATGATATACCCGATATAAATGCAACAATTTAATTTTTGAGATGTCCCAAGATAAATGCAACATTTACCTTTTTGGCAATGTTTCAATCCGGGATTACCTCTTTTGTCCACCTTTATATCTTGCTCTGACAATATTCATTCTAACAAATTATAGAGTTCTTTGGCATTTTGGCAAGAAAGATTTTTAGACTGCAACGAAAAGCCAGGGACAATGGTTCAGAAAGCCTATCACAGTAACCTGTCTGATCAAACATCGCATTTATTTGGGGCATAAGGTATTTAGGGTTGCCACTACCAATGTTCTGCCCTTTGGGATAGGACAGGTCTGCGGACATCTCACCCTCCTGGACCCTACTTTTGGGTGGAATATACTAGGTTTGTATGGTTTGGTCTGGTTTGCAAAGTTGTACTCCAACCCCAGCTATCATATAAAAAACAGAAGAGGTTAGTTTCGTAAATAGAATGCTTATGTGGGACAGGTTAACATTATCGTCAACTAAAAACACTAGAACCATACCACGTCTTTCTCAGTAGGGGTCAGTGAATCTGCAGCCGTACGATATTCTGTAATACAATTTAACAGATTTCTTGTTGCTTGTGCTCGAGCATCTTCGTCCTTGTATCTACTTTCAATAGGATCTACCACCTACATTAACGAAGAAAATTAGATATGTATGGACTACTAGATATCAAAGTAGAAGTTCAGAATTAGACATTCGAGATACCTTTCTGAGATCCTCCAACCTTCCGGCATATACCAGCTCAGATTCATCATCACCGTCTTCATATAGCCAGTCTTCAGTTTCTTGCAGATTTCTAGAGATTCTCTCCTTCTCTTCCTCTGTGGCAAAGCTCCGGTACGAACTTAGAAGCTAAATCAAATGAATTCTTCTCAATCCGCATGCAGTATATTAAAGTGAAAAAGCACTAATAATTGGAGGTCCAAATGAAAACAACAAAAAGGCTGGAAACATAACAGAATCAACCATTAGATGGATTTGATCCAAGAGATGTGACTAGAACTTCATTTTCAAAACTAAGAATACCCCCCCCCCCCCGGGGGGGGGGGGTATTTCAATTGAAAATTTACAAATTATAATCAAAATTGGAGGGAAACAAATTATACCAAGAAAACCAGCATTTTATCACATTTAATTTGATATCCATATTGTTATACTTTTTCATCTGATTATTCATGTTTCCTGTTTCCAACCTTTCTGTTGTTTCCATTTGAACACTCCCCTATTTGGAAGAACTGAAATATTTGAAAATTTCTTCTTTTCTCCATTGAGCATAATGCAAATAAATCTAATGCAAAGATCATCCGCAGTTACTCTTTATAGCCCGAGGACACACCTTATTGCGTGTATCATAGACAAAAGCTTCGAGGGTGTTCTTCATTTCTTTAGTTCGCTCCATCTTTATGTCTTGTTCTGCCAACATCCTTTCTTTCTCTTGAGCATCTCGTACCTCATCTCTTGTTGTTCCACCATACACATTCTCAGAAACTGTAATATTCTGCCTACGTCTCTTGCCTTTTCTCGTTTCATCAGCCTGCACAGTGAAATGAAAATCCAACTTCAAGTTAAGGGCTGTTTGGTAGATACCGAATGATTTGGAGCAGAATGATTAAGAGGCTCTGTATGATTTAGGGTTTGTTTGTTAACAATGAGCTTAATGGGATTCATAGCTTATTCGATCAACTATAAATTGGTAGTGGCTTAATGATAAAGTTTGTGGCTTATTCTGTAAGCTTCTAGGGAGGAGCTTTATGCCAAAAGCCATGTTTTTACCAAACCTGTCCCTCCCAATTAAAAAGCACAGTCCTTCCATCTATGAAAAAACCCTCTCAATCAATACATACAGATTAATCCACACCAAGCTTTATCCATACAGGATTTGAGGAAAACCAACCAAACAGCCTCCTTAGTGTAAAATGAAAAGTGATTGTCTGGTAAACGTTTTGAATGCACAGTCTGAATAACAGAAAATTACCATTTAAAGCCTTTAAATGATTTAATACCGAAAAAAATATGACTTTCTGGTAAATCCCAGGCCAAATCACAAAAACATATAAAGATTTGATCAGCATGGAATCAAACATCATATGATGTTACTTACAGCGTGTGTTGTAGAAGGGCTAGAATCGGCATATTTGTAATCAGCAGCACCATTTGTCATATGATTGTCGACCACCTTCTGTTCTGAAGGCAGATTAGCATTGTTACTAGAGTACTCTTCTTCTATAAGCTGAAACAAGAAACACGAAAGAGGTAGATATCATAATTCTCATAGGATGCTGTTCCAGTAACAGACTAAAAACATGTACAAGAATCCAAGCAGAAGGTATACTTACAGAAGCAGATTCTATTGTTACAATTCCATGAAGGTTTAGGTGAACTCTAACTTTAACCTCCGCTTTTTCTGCACTCAACACTTGGAAAGGACCGATCTGGACATATTTAATGATTAACTCAACATCTTAACAGAAACATTGAAACTTGCATCATTAAAGGATCTTCAAAGAAAACCCTCAAGCTAAATTCCAAAGTGTTAGAAATTCCTCAATCTCAAACAGAAAATAGATTAACGGGTGATTGCAATTTGATCATATCCATTTGGAAAGGTTTGTGAAGAAGTTGATGAATACAAAAGCTTTTGAAAAATCATGCAGTAAACAAACATGAAGAGCAACTACGACGGATACACAAAAAGAAAGGAATCCGAGGATTTACAAAACGAAAGCGTACCCGGTATATCCCGGTCGGAAGTAGGGTCGGGGGATGGGTAGGTTGTACCCAGGGGCTGTTTACATGAAGACCCCCGCTTGTAAAAAGTTTGTAAGAGAAAGTTTTGCAAAAAAAATTGAAAATTGAAATAAATGTTCAAGGTAATTTTTGGTAGTGTAAGAAGAGTTTTGAAAAAGTAGAACACGTAAGTACAGGAAGCAAAAAGAAAAGAAAGTATAAAGCATTAATTATGATGAAAGCATAGAACAAAGTACGAGAAAGTAGATATAAACTGTAAGACAGGTAAGCAAGTGAAAAGGCTTTGTTCCAAAAGATCCACACCTATGGCACTCTTGACTGCTGCCAAAGGAACCCCCCCCCCCCCCTAATCTATACCAACGCCCTAGAAATCCGACTCTCTAACCACCCCAACCCACCCTTACCTCTCCCTCCACGATTTGCTTGTCCACCTTACAAGTCTCTACATATAATCTCCTACCCTAGCGATGTTTCTCCAAGAACTCCTATTGAAGGTCATGTCCTCGAAAATGTAAAACGCTTTCATGTCCAACCTCAACTGATCTCATGTCCTCCTTGGCCTGCCCCTCCTCACCCCCTCGACTGTAACACTCTTGACCCTCCTCACTGTCATTTGTCTCCTGCGAACGTACCTAAACCACCGCAATATTTTGTTATACCCTGGAGTCAAGTGGTTAAATCGGTCAATAAGTAGGTCAATAAGTAAAGATGGTCAAAATCAATAGAAGGGATAATATAAATAGGTGAAGGGATTGGAGGGAAAGGCATTCTGTTTTGTGTTCTGTTCAGGTGAGAGCCTTGGGAGAGTACTGGCCTCTCAAAAGCCAGCAATTCTGTAACTGTCTCGACATCTTCTATTCAACCATTTGATTCCTTTAACTTAAATTTCCTGGTGTGTAACAGTTGGTTTCAGAGCAAGTTTGATCCACACCATGCTTGGAAGATTAGAACCTAGGACTGTTGAAATCAAAGGGAGAAGAGGCATGTTGGCTGATGATTTCAGATTGTTAAGAAAAGAAATGGAGATTATGGAGTTGGTGGATCGATTAATCAAATCTTATGTTGAGCCATTGAAGAAGAAGATCGCCACGTCTGAGATAGAAAATGATTCAGAGAAGGATCTAGAGAGGGAAAACAGAACAGTAACTACAGAGAAGAAGGATGAAGACCGTTCAGATTCATACGGAATCTCGACGAATCCCGACTTAGGAGGAGAATCTGTTGAAGAATCACCACGGCTGCGACGGTCTCTGCAATTGCCACCGCTGTTGCCGTCGCCATCATCACCATCAGTGACCATACAGACAGTGCCGATGTCGTGGTTGCACGCTCTCCCGATGACATTTTTCCTTCAACCGTCGAACGGAAGACGAGAAATTGATCAAGCCAATACCCCTTCTCTCCAATAAGCTTCAATAGCAAGTAAATTTTTCAAAACCAATAACTCCATCCCCTGGCTGTGGCCAATTGTGCTTGTAGAGGCATGTTGAGGGGACATCACTATAACTCCATAAAAACACTCATGCCTAGAAGCATTCAAAACAATAACACTTGGTCGGTTGCAATCCATATACTTCCCATTAAAATTCCTCAAAGCAGACTCCAAAGACCATTGAATTATTCTTGCTGGCCTCTGCTGTCCCATACCCACCAAAGTATGATAACAACATTCGAAAAGCTTGTTGTTCTTGATATCTCTCTTCCCTTCCACGATCAAAAGAGAAGTCCTTTGGAATCTCTTCACTCCCCTTATAACCTTCTTCAGAGCATTCTATTCTTTGCCGATAGTGAATGAATTCCTCAAAATCAAGTTCTGACTATTTACACCTTTTATGCCCCCAAACTTTATGCTAGATTCAATCGTGGGTTGCACCTTCCCTATAGACCTGGTCCCTCTATCCAAACTTCAACCCCCCCCCCTTCCTTGAATTGGGCATTCCACTTATCATTCATTTCTATAAACCACCTACCCACTTGCGCAAGAATACAAGATGTTGACATTCTTGTCACCTCTTCACCCAAAGAAATTGCTTTGAAGACAATCCCATGAATACCGTCATTACATACATTAATATAGGAAACTTTCCTGGACTCCTTTTCATATTTGTGCATTTGAATCTGAGATATTTTCTCTAGTAGGTGTAACAGCCTTTCAGAGAATATCAATTTTCCAGAATCCACATGGCCCACAATAGCAAGTTTTATCTGATGGTCTTTAGCTTGGTCAAAAAGCGCTCAGTTTTATACTGTTATCGAAGATCAACTTTCCCCTTTTTAGGAATTTTAGAATTCCCAGATTTGGCTCTCACGATCATTTTGTCCAACTCCCCATAAATCATATTTGTTTGTATCTTAAAAATGGGAGCAAGTCTGTCCTCATCCACGTATCCTAAGCAATCCTTTAAATCAAATGTCTAAGACGCAGGAAAGGTTAGGGCTTCACTTCAAGTTGGCAACGAGCATTAATTTGTTGGAAGGATCGTTAGAAATTGACGGCTTTTTCAAGTTGGATGCAACTTAGGCATTCCATTAGGATCCAGACACCATATGTGCCAACAGCGACAGCGGTGGTGGTAGCGAAGGAGGCAGCGGTGGTGGTAGCAGGGGTGGCAGCAACAGTGATGGCGGCAGTAGTCTCCGATGATAGCCGCCTAATCACTCTCCCCTGTAAGCCGTTGACTACATGGAGGATGTGGAAGAGTCGGGTGTCATTTGTAATTGTACGCCTGACACAGGTTTGGGCCAAATTGAAATGTCTTCATTGAGCTTAGGCCAAACTGAAATATCTTTATTAGGCTTGGGCCAAAATAGGTTCATCAAATCAAAGCCCATCGCCTTTTCATTCAGCGATTGATTACTCGTAATCGATTCCTTTTCTAGGGTTGAAGATAACGGAAGCACAAGCGATGGTGAAGAGAGTGGTGATGGTGGTGATATCGATAGTGGCTGGGGTAATGGGGACGGTGACAGCGGTTGGTTTTTCCCTAACCCCACCCATTTCTGGTGATATCAACCTTTGCTTTCTGTTTGCTCCCTCTTCTTCTCCCTATCTATAATTCCTCCTTTCTTCCCCTGCAAATTCTTCTCCGTATTGTCCCTCTCCATGGCCACACCCTGTTTTAGAGTTAGAAACGGTTAACCAGATGAACACATGACTGTCTAGCGGAATTGACGAAGAATCATCGACTTCAGATCCTCCCATCGTGTAGAAGGTCTCATCAGATTCTCTCATCGAAACCATCTCAAAGCATCACCTTCAAAAGCTATAAACGACACATTGATTTGTTCCTCTGGACTCAATTGGTTTAACAAGAAGTACCTTTCAGCTCTAAGAATCCAGCCATCCGGATCCTTCCTGTCGAACGCTGGAATTTCGATTTCCCCCCTTTTACTGCCAAAAAAAGATTAGGATCATGATTATCTCCATTTTTTTCCAATTCCTCCCGATCCAGATGTGCCCTCACCATCTGATGACAGAGAAGAATTCAATTTGCTAACTATTTCATCTTGTTGCTTACTGATCCTCTCTATCTATTGCAAAATCTTCTGCATCCCTTTTTCGATCGATCCTACACTACTCTCCAGATAATCTACCTTTGTTGCCATACTCCTTGTCACCATCCCTAGATCATGGTTGCTCTTATACCAATTTGTTGTACTTTGGATCTAAAATTGTCGGTCGTGGATTGAATTCACAAGAAACGAAATCCCGATGGCATTCGAGAGGCCATGGACTCTCCTAAAGCTAACGCTCAAGTTACAATATCAATCAACAAACAAAATACCCTGAACAATTAGCTATCTACTTTATTTATACTATCCCGAGCCCACCAACTCTCCTAACCGCTACCAACATTGACTAGTTGACTTCCATACCCAGGTTATAACAGAAGATTAGGAGAACAAGATCAATCTATGACCCTAGTTAGAGGTAAAGTGTATCTGGCAAATGTAATTCACCAAGCAAGATCACAGCAAAATAGTTGGTCGACACACAAAGCTGGTATGGGACCCGACCTTTTAGACAAATACATTGAATAGGCCATTGTTCTTGTGTGTTGTTGCCGGAAACACGCCAACTACTACCAGAAAGGGCTTTACAATTGGGTATGCAATTCTGAGTCATTCTGGGAGGGCAGGATTGGTTGGCTTGATGGATAATTTGGGTGCTTTAGTTAAGATCCACAGCAGGTGGGATGTCAGTCAAATCTTTAATAGATGTGGAAAGGAGACATGGCAAGGTTTAAGTTGGGGATTCGGAAGCAATGGGGGAACTAGAAGATGCTCCTTCCAAAGACTTTGTGGCTACATGCTGCGATTGGTTTGTAAAGAAACGTTACATCAACCGGTACCAACAGGAACCAAAGCCTCCACCGCTACCATCAACACCATCAGTAGTCATTGATATAAAGAGTTGGAATCATTTCTTTGATTTCTTCCCACCTTGAGGACAAGGTGAAAGTTGGGGGGCCGGTATTGTTATACCCTGGGATCAAGTGGTAAAATCAGTCAATAAGTAGGTCAAGAAGTAAAGTCGAGCAATAAGTCAATAGAAGGGATAGAATAAATAGGTGAAGGGACTGGAGGGAAAAGCATTCTGTTTTGTGTGTTCAGTTTAGGCGAGAGCCTTGGGAGAGTACCGGCCTGAGAGGCCAGCAATTCTGCAACCTTCTCGATATCTTCTATTCAACCATTCGATTCCTTTAACCCTAAGTTTCCTAGTGTGGAACATATTCCTTCTATCAATTTATCTGTTACTGGTGCAACTTCAAACTCTGCCCAGAAGACCTGGTTTTAGTATCATGTCTAACATGGTCGAATCACAGGTCCATCTTAGTTATGTCACTTCCAACGTCCTCTCATGCAGCTTCTTTATTGCCAAACCCATACAAACAGTAGAGAGGCTTTTCCCTAAACCCAAGGATTTCCAAGAAACCCCAAATAGAAAAAAGCACTAGGAGAACAAACGGTAGTATGCACCAATAAATGTATAACACACACAAAACAACCTCAACATACTCATCCTGAAACCTCTTGCTATAGTGCCACTAACCCTGCATCCCCCTGGTCCACATGCTAGAGTGCCACTAACCCTGCCCGATTCTCTTTGGCATAAATGATTTCCAAGTGGAAAGTATAGCAAGAGGTTAGTGGAATAGCTGACTTTAGCATGGAATAGCTGACCTTGGAGTACCACTTACCGTGGAATAGCTGACTTTAGGTGGTACTCCAACAGGCAGGTCATTCTCATTGGCATAAATGATTTCCAAGTGGAAAGTATTACTTCTATGCAATGTAAGCATCTTAACACATGGAAATGGATGGCCTTTCAAAAACAAGACGCCATTGGGTAGTGTGATGTTTTTGCCTTCTTCTGTCTGAAGTCCAATAGAAAAAGGAAATGAATCTTGAACCTGCAAGGAAGAAGTAAATTAACATGAATCCTAAATAAATCGAGATGGCTAAACCTTTGGGAAATTTTGTGCAAATTAACTTCTTTAAAGAAGGCTATAGGAACGAGACTAAAGTCTATAACTTAAATAGGATATCTAAGTAAAAAAATGCACTAAGAGTTGAAAATCAAGTGTAGATGGAGTTTATTGAAAGTAAAGGAACTAGATCTTTTGAAAGAGTTGAGAAACAAAACTTGGCAATCACTACAGTGATTTAATGGTTATACAAACCAAGAATTCAATTTATCTAGAGCTGCCAACAACTATCATAGTCAAATACAGACAATATGGGATAGCAATTAAATTAAGACATGAACATAAACCAGGAAGAGGGTTCAGGGTAACTTGATATATAGTGCCATTTTGTTGTATGTTCTGTCTTTCTGTTGTGCTTGTGCCAGATGATAAAAAGTGATACATTTTTTCAAGTACACCAACTTTGATCTAGCATATAGACATAAGAATTATGATGATCGAAGTTTGTTTCTTTAACCTAACAAGATCTGGTTCCAAGTAAATAGGATTGATAGTCTTATCACTCATAATACTTGCTATAATTTCACATTGTGGACTAATTTCTAGATAATGTTCCATTAAAGGAAAATAATAGACATAAAGGGAAAGAAAAGTGAGATTTTACCTATCATAGGAGTATAAGGCAACACATATTCAAATTAGCCAAAGAACCACATTGTAAAAAAATGTATAACATCAAGATACATGCTGAAGTAAAACACCAATTCCTCATGCATCCTAAATCTTTCTTACCAATCTTACCAGAAAGGTATAACATTATGTTTGTGGTGTATGGTCTAAAATATGGAATGCTGAATAGCTCTACACTGTAAGAAACCATATCAGCCTAAACTGCTTTATAGAAACTCACTGTTCTTTACCAAAAAGAAATCTTGCTGTTAAGATACCTACGCCAACAGAACAAAACTATGATGCCCTTTAAGTTACTTGGCTTTATATATAACCAGGTATAAATTTTTAGACAGAATTTGACAACTTCTATATAGCCACTCTGTTCAGGAAAGGCACATGATTGACTTTTTACTAGTAGTTTTACACTTGCAAAGATCTAAATTGACAGCAATATACTAAACTAATGGTGGGGTTAAGCTACTTAAAGAAAGACATCAGTCAAATATCTGGAATCATTTGTGGAAGATTGGATGAGAAACTTGCTTAAGGTGATAAACATATTGGTTAGTAAAAGATTCCAGGTTGACCTATGTTGCAACTTGCAAGGATAGCCATGCAGGGATACGAAGGCATGACACATGAATAATGGGATCCAAAGATTGTTAAAGATTGAGAATATGGAAGTGTGCTTATATTGAGGTATACTGGTCTACACAACCAAACCAATAATAAAAGAAAAAACTTGTCTTATAATTCATACATTAAATACGCTAGACATGCTTATGTTCAGAACTTTATCATACTTTTATTTTTGCATATTGAGCTAGATTTAATCCACACTATTAAGAAAGGAATTTTGGTACGTCAACAACTCAACATCACCTAGGCTTCTTCTTGCACTCTAACAGCCATTAGGCTTAGGTTTTACTTTAGACACTGGGCCTTAGTTTTAATATTATTCATTGTGAATTTCCATCTCTCTCTTTATAAAGAAATGACTCAAAAGGCACCTCTCATACCCACAACTTCGTATCTGTTGTGTTTGTGGTCAACAATTCTGTGGTACGATCGACAATGAGGGTGTGCACTGCCCCCACCTGTCGTACCCTCAAAGAGCAACACCCTTGAAGCATCCATGCATTGAACAACTTGGTTAAATAATGCCAATTGCATCTACACATCAGTCCCTTACTCCCTTATTTTCTTTAGAAGGAGATTTCATCAATACAGGTTTCCTGTCATTTCAGTTTTGAATTAAACATGATGCTACAGTAGTCTACGTTCATCTTGTAAGCGGACTTGGTGATTGAAAATGATAAGCAGGATGCACAGAATTAATGAATTAACATAAAGTAAGGCAAAAATGTGAGAAACATAAACCGAAGATAGACCCGTGCAAGAGTTTCTGTGAGATCACAATCTGGTTAGTTTCACTAGAGATCTGTGTGGGTAAATCCATCGCCATTAACATGGTATCTTCATTTGAGAGTACTTGAAACATATTGGAAATAGCATAATACACAGTAAGTGATGGATCAATCAATATCTCTTTTCATAGTTTCATTCACACAGGTTGTCTACAGAAAATTAAAAGAGTTATGGACTTTTCAACCCATTATTTTTGTGAAATGCAAAAGATGCTAAACTTTGCAAGTATCACGGATTTTGGACAAAAAGTGTCAAGTATTTAGCTAGCCTTTAGATTTAGATGATGCATCCCAAGTTCCCAACTGGCTCATTCTTGCAAAGTATAGCAGTTTCCTTTTCTTTTTCACAAGAAAGTATTTTGATTATGAAAAATAAAAGTCCGATGGTTTAAGAGGAGACTAGATCAAAAGTATATGATGCATATGCATTGGAGATTTGCAAAAGAAAAGAAGACAGTATTAGAGACAGACCTCATACTCTCTAACTCGGAAAGTCGGGCTAAGCATTGCACACTGAAGTGCACATCCTCTAGCAACACACTCGCTTGCATTTAACGTCCTCCTTGGTTCTCTTCCAAAGAGAGTAGATAATTTCCTCATAATAGCTGGTATTCGGGAACCAGAACCAACAAGCTCGACAGAATATATTTTATCAACACTTAGTCCCGCATCATTTACAGCTTTATGACAAGGAATGCTAATTCTTTCAAGCAAGTTGGAACACAGATCCTCAAAATCATCTCTCTTTATGAAGCCTTTGACATCTTTCTCATCCATTAAGCATTCGATATTAAGCGGTGCTTCTGGATTCGCACTTAAAACTTTCTTCAGCTTCTCACAAGATGACCTTAGCCTTATACAAGCTCGAGTATTTGAATAAACATCAATATTGTACTGTTCCCTAAACTTTGCCGCAAAATATTTAAACAAAACTTCATCGAAATCTCTACCACCCAAATGGTTATCAAAAGAATGGGACAGAACTTTCATATGACCTTGTTCAAAAGCCACAACTGTAATCTGAGTGTCACAATGTCCAATGTCAACAAACACAACATTTGTAGGTCCTGAATCGGCAAAATCAGTCTTGTAAATACCATAACCTAGTGCAGTTGCAGTACAATCATGCATCAATCTCAATGGTCTTAAACCTCCGATATGTGCAGCATCAAGATAAGCACGCCTTTGCACGTCTGTAAAGTATGACGGAATCCCAATCACACAATCTGAAACAGGGATTTCAAGATTTTTCTCGGCCATTTGTTTTAAATGTGCAAACAGCATCCCCAGTATCTGAATGGGCGTAAATGTGCATCTTTCATTCAAATACTGTAAATGAATCAAAATACCACCATCAGGGGCCTCACTAGTCTCGAATGGCAGCAACTTAAGATCATCCTGCACCCAGGAATTCTTATATTTGGTTCCTATCAACCTCTTAACCTGAGAAATAGTGGATCTAGGGTTCATAGTAGCAGATGCAGCCCCTGCAGAACCCAAGAACCGTTGCTTCTCACCGAAAGACACCACAGCAGGCGTCTCACGGTTTGATTCATCATTTAACAATACATCAATCCCACGGTGCCTTGCGGCTGCAATAACACAGTTTTCGTTCCCAATATCAAACCCAATCACACTCATTTCAAAATTTCCTCGGAAAGTATTACCCAATGTCTGATTCAGTTATGAACCCTACCTACACCTAAAGCATTTTAACAAACAGTTAGCTCTTATAACTCCTAATTAAACGAATTAATCAAAGACCAAAGAGCATACAGAATCTTGATTGCAAAATGCAGCATTGAGGTTTTACTAAACCTACAAAATTGTGTAATTGTCGCAACTCAAAACCTGATTCATCAATCAGAATTTCTCAAATTAGAATCCTGATCGTTGAGAAGACATTTAAACTAGTAGTCTAGTATTTAGCCGTTGATACGAAACACACCCAATAAATCAGACGATCCAATTTCAAAAAAATGCGCAGAAACCCATACAAATAACAGTTATAATATCATCGAAGACAAGATTGAGATTGAAAAACCATACCCTATTAACTATCGCGTGAGCTTTTTCTCCGAGAGACCTAAATGACCGATAGATATCTCCAAGATTGTTCCCAAACTGGAAAAATAGAATAATCCCCAAAGATCTATTCATGTATCCTCGAAAAAAGGCAGCACCCATATTTTATTCATGATTTTAAAATAAAAATGGAAAAGAAAATAATTTGAAAGGAATTGAAATGTTATTAGACTCGATAAGTGTTTGATTGGTAAGAATATAATATAATATGTCTAATGAATCAGAATCTATTTTATTGGTTTGAAATAGAATTAGAATAGAACAATGAAAAACACCATTTCTTTGATACCTTTTTTATTTTATTTTACGATGATATAATCCAAATGTCGTAGTTATTTGAATAACATCGATTTTCAAATCAATCATCTAATATTCTATAGAAAACTAAATAAAATTTACTTTGAATTTTCAAACTGAGATCTAATTCTAAGCTATGAAACCCATCTTCCATTCTTAAACCTATTGGTGGTAGTAAATATCGAAATTAAATGGATCTGACAAATTAAAACTTTTTTAAGGGGGGTGTTTGGATTGCTCATGTGAAACAATTATTTTTTTTATAAAAGTTTATTATAAGTTAAAAAGATTTAACTTCTTAAAAACTCATTATTATCAATTTGGCACCGGTATAAAGTGTTTATCCAAACACTCAAAAAAAATAAATCAATAAGTTGTTTTTATAAACAATCTCAAATATTGTTTTCAGCATTTCCAATCATATGTCACATTATTATACTTTACTGGTCTTTAAACTCCAATCAACCAGCAAAAACAATTGCAATCTGTGGGTCAAACGGCAAAAGAGCTTAATTCTTGGATATGAAGTGATCTTATCTATTTATGATCCCATCAATTTGCAGCTTTTTTGGTGTTAAGAGTTGAAGTTACTCGCCATCCCAATATATCCAACAAAAATAATATTTCTGGAACATCTAAACCCTCAAATTAGTGATGTATGAATGAAAAAACTCAATGCAAGAACCCGAGCCCATTGAGCTTTTACTCGCACGAAATAGAGAAAGGATTTTTTCAACGACATAGTTTAGGATTGTTTATAGAAACTTCTATTCTGAAGTATGCCTTACACATTTATAACGACTCCATTTTCCGAGCAAGTTGCATAACGTGTCAAGATTAACACATCTTCGAGTAACTCATCGTTAGTTCATTTAACATGCTTAGTACAACATGAATTTTCCGCTAAGTAAAGGAATAAAATGGAAAAGTATAACAAAAATTGTAAATTCATCGATTTCTTCTGTCCATTTAGTTCTTTCTTTTTCTTTTTTTGGGTCGGGATACAGCTGGTGCTACAAGAGTTTCTCTCTAGAACCTGAAGCTAGGTTCCACATCCATCGCCCAAGCGAACTTTGCCAGTAAAGACTTGTTAAATACCTGCATTAGATTCATATGATTCGTGTTCAGTAAAATAATTGTTTACTCCTATCTAGCTTTTCATTTTTCTAACGCATTTGTTTTCCTCCCTTTCAGAATGGGGGTCGTCATGAAAACAGCCACTCTACTCTTTAGGGTAGAGGTCAGGTGTGCGTACATCTTACCCCAAATCCCACCTCTAGGTGGATATATTGGGCTCTGAGAACTATGAAAACTAACTACTTATGAATTATTCATGATGAACATCATTATATCATATGATAGATATTTCTATCATGAAGGATTAAAATACTTGTGGTATATTCATCATGAATTTTATGGATCCTAAATGAACATTTCACTACCAAGACTAAAAACATAATGTATTCTAACCTTCTCGATGGGAACTTCACGACGCTTACACCATGCCACAGTTATTCTAGGATCAAGATAGTTGATTTTTGAAGTACCCAATGCCACAGTTTTCAAGTCTTCTTTGGTCTCTTTGTCGCGTTCCATTTTCTCAATCTTTGCATTAGTTTGAACAATCTTCTTATGTAACCTACATGTTAATTAACAATTCCCACTTGCAACATTAGATAACATCAGAAAATGCATGAATTATGCATCAGGATCAAAGAATATAAGTAGGATTACGCTTCAGGGTTCATATTTCTCTTCGTCTTCCCATCAGAACCCTTCAATGGAGGCTTCCCTTTCTTTGCACGAGCCAAATCAGTTTCCAGTTCTTCTACAACACCCTAAAGAAAAGAATACCAAATTATATTTTAGACAACTACAGGAATTATCGATTGCTTAAGACAGACTTCAATGAATATGTTATACCCCGGGCATTACAGTCAATAAGTCAATTGTAGTAGGTTATGGTACAAGTGTTTACCGTTGGATACAAGTATGTGTAGCAGGGTAGTGGGTCGCTACTTAGTATAAATAAGAGGGTTTTGGAGGGGAGGAAGGTATCGATTATTCTATTGAGTTTGAGATTGGCGAAAGCCTTTGGGAGGCCTCCAGCTTCTCGAATTGGAGGAAACCTTTTGTTCAATCCTTTGATTTCAGTTCTAATTCCATATTGAAGTCATCGTTGTCTACCAATTTCATTATAAGTGCTCGGGTTGTACCAGAATAGTTTAAGATGGTGTTCATTTACAACACTCTGCTCCATTATCTATATTATAGACTTATAGTTCCCATCTTCATTTCTCCCTCACATAATAACATTAAGTAAATGAACCCACAACTTTTACCATATAAATGGGATCCCACAAAAGAAAATTGTTCATTGACCTCAACAATTTCTATTATTGATGATGTACTTTTAGAACTAGTTGTGTACCCATGCAGTGTAGTGGGATGTAAAATTATGTCGTAAACCGAGAATGGAAAATTAAAGCAACTCCTCATTAAAAAATCCGATATTTATCACATATTCTGCCGTATGGTAGGGTCAACACTTATCCTGGATTTGAAAATATTTACCTTTACGAAGTACTAGGCATGCAGTAATAAGTTGTAATCTTGAATTCTAAAAAATGATGCATTAATATGCAGTGCCTAATGCTTAATAAGTAGATTTTAAGAGTTTTTACCAAATGCTTCATAATATAGTATAAATATAGATATGTCAAGATATATATCTACTTCCCAAGTATAACATGGATTGTAGCTAGAGCAAAGTAACAAAGTGTTACCTTTAGTTCCTCTATTTTCTCATTCAACCTCGTCATTTGTGCACTATGAGACTTTGAAACAGTCCGTTGATGATTACAAATGATTGCAACCTACAAAAAGTAGTGCACAATGTTAATTTAAGCTTCAGCCTGACATTAATAGAACTTGTAAATCGCTCGAAGGATAAATTTCCTATATGGGTCTGATCTTCACCTCCTTGTTTGCTTGGTTATAAACGACTAAGTTTTCAGCAACATTTCCACCCTTCATATCCCTATTTAACTGCACACAGAAAATAAGAACAAGAAAAACAAAGAACATGTCAGATCAATCGGGCACCCAAAGGAAAATTATCTGCAACAAACGTACAGTCTTGCCATCCCAAATAAAATGCAACACATGTATAAGCACATAGTTTGATGTATTTGACTATTGCTTACACATCTAAAAAATACTCCTCAATAGTAGTGGAACCTTGTGGGTTATAATTGACGCTATCAGTATTTTATATTGATAATGATTATTAATGGGACAGAGGTTGTCATGGATTCAGGAAACTTGTATGAAAGTGCAATGTCAACATTCATATTGGGACAAAGGGAGTTGGAAGTTAAAAGCACATCAAAGACAAGATTCGACTCCCACACGACATTTTCAGTTGGCATATCATTCTGAAAAAATGCTGTTAAACAAATCTTGGCATATATGCTCCCTCCCTCCCTCCCCCCTTTTATTTTATTTTATTTTATTTTAAAACAGATCTGCGACAAAAATATAATATAATATAGAGTAAATTACATTTTTCATCCCTCTAATTCGCTGAAAATTTCAGTTTTCGTCCTTGGTCTTCCTTAATCAAAGTTTTTGTCACTGTGGTTTGCAATTCCTTTTGATTTTACTCCCTCTGACCAACTCCGTTAAAAAAGTCCGTTCAGTGAGAGGCATTTAGATCTTTTACCACAGTGACGGGAGGAGGGGGTCTGGGTGGGGCTGTGATATATATATATATATATATATATATATATATTATTTGATAAAATAAGAAAAATACAAAAATGGGTAGAAAAACCTTCCCTGAGGTCAACTTAGTATCTTACCATATCATCCAATGTGAATGATGCATTATATGTACGGAAAACTTTTGCTGTCAGGCCAGGCATGAGTTCCTTTAGATGAGCATTCAAAGTACTGGTATCCAGCTTGTCAAATAGATCATCGCCATCTTTCTTCCCTGAGGTGTTTATGTAGAGAACATTTGGAATACAGTTCAAGAAACATTAGAAGTTCGGAATCACCTAATGAAGGCATCAACTGACCTGTTCGGAACTGTTGAATCGCTTTGAACACTGGAAGCTCTACTTCAACCTCATTTTGGTACCGTATAGAATCTTTACCAAGGAAGTCAAACTAGAGAATTATCAAAATATATACGTTATTTGGATCATATTGCAGAGCCCACATACAGATTACATGGTTACAAGGTTCTTTGATTCCTATAAATGGTATTCTACCCATAGCGGAAAGAAAATTAGAAGCAATTAAAGATTCCAATTGTTAATATCGGCCATGAAACCAATTCAGAACATGCACATTTGGACTATAAGAAGTAGCATCATATTCTCACTTTTTACGGCAAAACCAGCCAAGGTGGACATATAAACAATCTACCTTCAGGATATTCGGAGGCTCTGGCTCAACGTTTTCTACTTTCAACGTGCAGCAACCAACTGTATCAGCTTCATCATCATCCTGCAAGCATAAAACAGCATAACAAAATGTTAAAGGCTCGTTTCTTTTTCTTCCAACCCTACTAACTAGGTTCTTCCAGTTGATAGATAAGTCATTTCAAAGCAATGACAACAAAGCACCAAGAAGAAAATAGCAGTCTGTCAAGCATACAAAATAACTTCAAATACTGACTTCCATCGTCAACAACTTTCCTTTTGGTATATCCTAGAATTCTGTCCAAGTTATTGGAAAAGTTAAAACTATTGATCTTCTTCAGATTTCGTGTAGTAACAAAAAAAAGATAAAAACCCAATTTATGAAAACAGAGTTGTACCGTGAAAACAAAATGGGTTCGAAAACCTTGATGCATACAACAACTTCCGTAAATATTGACTATAAAAATAACTATGAAACAGAACACTTCCATTGAAAGAAGTGCCGTAGAAAAAAGTCATGCTATTAGAGATGAGAGGAAGGACATTGATAACAATACCTTCTCATTCCCTGCCCTAAGTGCTAATTTATCGATGAGATATGTAGCCACTGCCACTTGCCTCTTTGTCACATCCTTATTTCCAAAATCTCTAGTGTAAGCTTTTCTGATGCCTTCAATGTATCCCTACAATCAGATGAAGGTACCAGTAATTAAATATCAATACCATAGTATTTCCAGTGAAAAATGGCATTTTATGAAAGCAAAGGATTAATATTCATCTGACTTGCCTTCAATGACCTTGCTTTCTCGTATTTTTCCTTGTCACTTTGACCCTTCAGGGAACTGCTTGCGGCTAGAAACACATACTTGAAGTCCTTCGGATTTATCGGATCATTCCAATATGCTAACCAAGTGACAGTATTATCATGCCTAACTTCTTTCCAGCTGCCAAGCATCAAAGTTTGGCTTTCAGGCAGATAACATTCAGCAGAAAGGATGATCTTTTCCATACAAACTTAGATGGGAAAGAAACAAAAAAGCACAAGTCAAACCTTTGACCAGGAATTGGACATTCAGGGATTGGGGAGCCCTTCCCAATATTTATTGTAATATCACTCGGACGGATGCGCTTTTTCAGCTTTCCCATCTAGGCAGCAAAGATAACAATTATGGTTTTCTATTTTAAGAAGAAAGTATAAACATTTGCTGCCAAAGTTGTTAAAGGCTCAAAGCGTGCTTAGGCACAAAAGGGTCACGGAGTTAGGCCCGAGGCGCATGCGTGAGGCGCGGGCCTCAGGCATGCGCGGTGCATCTTTTCAAAATAATATACACATACACACAAAAAGTAACACACAACTCAAATATGCAGCAAGTACAAGCCTCCAATGCAGCAACCAGCGGTAGTTTGATAGCGCGAGAAGGTTTTAAAGCATGAACCGTGAGGTAGAAGTTCTAAGTACTAAATATTTATAGAGGAGGAGGCTTGAAGTTCTAAGGGCTGGGTATTTAATATTAGTTTGACTTATGTCATCTATTTAATAACTCCTTTTAGTAAGTCTAGGAGATGGGAAGATGAGAAAATTTATTTAATATTAGGGTTTGACTAGGTATTTAAACTCTTTATGAGGCGTGCCTACGCCCACGAGGCGCCTCAGCTAAGGCGCAACGCCTTAGTGAGACTCGTGAATACACGTTAGCCTCGACTTTAAAGAAGCCCAAGACCTTGAGCTTTATGAGCCTTCTTTTTAACAATTATGTTTGCTGCTATAAGCCAAATTATCAATTTGAAATAGACTAGGCTAAAAATCTTTCATAAAAGAGTGAAAATTATCATTAGAACCTTTGGATGCTCTCCACGGCCTCGGAACAACCCGGGTGGCTCTACTCGGAAGTTTCCAACCTGCACCATTGATTAATGATTATCTGCTTAAGCAAAGAACCTGAACAAACAAATTTCTACCCAATTGTAATAGAAGCATGCATCGGTCTTTTTTGTGGTCAAATAATTTAAGAAATTTTTTACATAAAATATCTTGAATAGCAATAAAGGTTACCTTCCAGAATTAAATCCCCATGTAATTTGTTAGAAGTCCGTTATAGAGGGAGTATGCTTATAGTTATTAGAGTCGGATTAGGCTTAGGTTCACTTCCTATTCTGTTTACTATTGATTTTCTGGTGTTTCGGCTGCAAGCCTCTTATGTGCCTACATATTTATTTTTCTATTCTAGTAGAATTAAGGTTGTCCTTAACAATCCATTATTCCTAGAATATAACAATCTAAGTTGGTTTAGCTTGTCCTTCTATATAGCAATAGTGACAAAAAGGGCCCGAGGATACTAGAAATTCATCATCATCCGTGCAAAGATAGTTCTCCAAAGTATCCGACAATATATTTGCCATCTTTAACTTGTATAGGGTTTCCAATAAGTTGCGTCAGATATTCACTTCAAAAAATGCAAAATGTGAACTCCAAAACTAGGAAAGAAGTAGAAAAAACATAAGGCAAACAATTATAGCAAACAACAAACCATCCCCATGTCAGATAGCCTCTAATGATATTAGCAGAGCAATAATCTAATTTGCAGTTTCACTTGTAAATGGTGTTATCCTTTTCTCTGCAAGATCTGCTCAGACATAATAAAGATGAACTGAGGCTGAAGGTACCTTCTCTTTCACCCCATCAACTATGGCCCACATATATTTCTCCTCGAGCTTCATCTTTTCTTCTTTTACAGCTTTCTTCTCCTGCAAAAAAGGAACAAACCTTATAAATATTCTAGATAAATTTCCTCAAATCCATACAAAGAGTTACGAATATTGGTATTAGGACTATTTCAACATTTCTTTCTCATACCATGGCCAGTAATATAATGATTAGCATCAAGCACAATGTGTGGAACATGATGCTTAAGGTCAATGTTTAGTTGTGTAGAACTGTATCCCAAGAGTTAAAACCATACAGCAAACAAACACCATAATGACACCTATTTTGATACTAGTTTATATTGGTATTAAGACCACTTCAACATTTCTTTCTCATTCCATGACTAGTTAATACGAACTTACTTCTGTACTCATTTGCTTCTTTTTCTCCTTTTCCCTCTGATGCCATTCATATATAGGTCTGAAATCACAGTCATCTAAATTCTGGATTGTGTGGTTTCTTCCCAATATCTTGCGCCAATCACCCATGAAATTTTCTTTGAACACAGGTTTGGTCATGTAATCAGTATCTAACATCACTGCAAACATTGTTGCAACCTGCAATGTCAGCCAGTCATGCAAATAAGAAACGAGAATCAGGTGTATGTCCAATCAGTTTATTTAGACCACATACATACAATGAGCAAGCAAACAGACATGATAAAAAAAACCAATGTAAAAACAATTCGAAAATGCTGCAACTTATACTCAGAAGAGACGATATGACAGGCTCACCTCCTCCTGTTCGGGAGTCAAATCAACAGGCTTCCCCTTGTAGAGCATCTTAACCCCATGAGGCTTGTATGGTGGTGGGAAAATTACACCATTATGAACCAAACTTGTCCACTTCTGCCCTTCACCGGATCCAGGGGGGACCTTTGACGGCTTAGAGTATTTTGAATTTTTCTCTATCTTCTTCGACTTCTTGATGGTTTTCTTAAACGAAGAGGAATTTACTTTAATCGACTTCTGTTTTATGGATGCCGATTTACTACCTGATGGAGCTTTGTTCTTCATCCTCTGAGATATGGGAACGTGATCATTCTCGTCATCATCTGTCTCAGACTCTGGTTTCACAGAAACTGGCTTGCGGTTGATTGGTGCGGATGAATCTGAAAGCTTTGGCTTTTTAATCGATGACTGACCTAAAGAATTTTCCTCATTTGGAGGTCTCTTATTTAAGCCAATATTAGGTTTTCTACTTTGATTATCCCTTGATGCAGAACCATTTTGCTTAACTTTCGATGATAATGGTTTATCATCATCAGAATCATCATGCTTGCGGATAGATGCACTGACATAGGATTTGGGCGTGAATTTCGAAGATAAAGGTTTCTCGTCATCAGAATCTTCATTTTTTACTTGTGTTTTTGAACGTTGAGATGCACTCATGCTAGGTCCTACTTTCACATGGTTGGAGTTTGCCTTAGGTACAGTTGAAATTCTAGAACTCAATGGTTTGTCATCTTCAGAATCCTCCGAGTCACTGTTTTGCTTAGCAACAGTTTTAGGGGAAGGCTTCTCTTGCCTAACAACTGCAGCTGCCTTCTGTTGAGCAGAATGCTTAAATTTATCAGAAGTTGAGCTCCTTTTGAAAACCAAGGGCTTATCATCCTCATCAGATGAATAATTCATTTTTTGTCAGCTTGTTGTCATATAGCACTTGATTTCGGAAATCCTGTATTTACCCGAGGTTGTGGAAGGACCTACATGAAATTAAAACAAAAGAAACTTATGTCGTTATGGAACTTCAACTCCCCAAAATTGATGCTTATAAGTAAGGAACCACCTTGCTCTGCAAGTAGCAGTAGATAAATAGAAAAGTGCAGGATTACCAACATGGCTGTATTTAACACCATGTCAATACCTAATGCATCTAATATCACAATCGGACAAAATCCAAGATCCATAAATTCAGAACCAGGAATGCAACTGAAATGTACCAGCATGACACTCATCAAATAACAGAAGTTTGATCTTTTTGTATAACTATCATCAAACAAAGACCAGTCATTATCAATGACACATCACCAATTTGCATTAATAAAGCATTGCATGATGAGTACAAAAATAACAAATTAAATCCAGGATTAGAAGTTTACTATTGTTGGTAAGAAATCATAAATTAATGAACCAAAAACAACTACAGGTATTTTGCAAGCACATAAACAAAAATGAATTCAGTAAATTCACATAACGACAAATTGTAATAGAGTTTCAAAATTATTAAAAGATCATTAACATGACTATCAACGAAGAAACAACAGCACTATTCCAAACTTTATATCACCACTCAGGAAGATTCTTCAAAGTAAATGAATTCAATTATGAAATCAAGTGAATACACATTAGATGGTTCTGAATTATATTTTCAAGCCTCAAATCCTTGAGATAGAACTTATGAGCTTCAGAATACCGATGCAAAACATAATAAAAATTAATCATGGATATCTCTTTTGGTTGCTCGTAGATAAATTTTATCGTTCATCGTGTCTAAATTTCACAATCTCAAATGCCCATTCACTGGGTACATTCACAGTATAAATATCATACCAAAAACCTAGCATTTAAACAGCACATATATCTTTCGAGTCAGAAGTCAAAACTATAAACATATTACAGATTGATGTTCGGTTGACAGGCTCTATTAAACAAATTGATCAGGGCATCAACAAAAGGTGGGTTTTGGTGAAGGCCTACATTGAGGTGATTTTTATAAGTTTGCACACAACATTTTTAGACAAAGCTTCAGAGAACAATAGTAACCATGTTTAAAAAATGTCATCTTCACTCTAATAAAATGTATAAGCACACATGCAAAGTGAGGGGGAGGAGAAATTGAGAGGGTACCTCAGATGTGATAGTGGCAACAGTCTAGCTTCAGCCGAAAAGGTGATGATAGAGAGTGCTGGCAATGACTTGAGACCTAATTGGATTTGCAGCTTCAGGCCAGAGAGTCGGTGGACAGAAGAGAATTGACTTATTGGGTTTCTAACTTTACAGTTTCCAACTGGGTCTTTTGATGTACCATCCAACATAGCCAAGCAACTCTAGCCGTTAAAATTCGAGAGTCATCGCTAAACAACTCAAGGGTACTCTCTTCCAAAACGAAGAGAGTTCCACTATGACTTCTGTGGCCAAAAGATTATTATCAAGGATCAATAGTTGCTGTCAATTTGTTTATTTTTAGAGAACAGGAGCATACTTACAATAAACTTGACAAAATGCCCTTCAAAATGGAGCTTCTTTGTTTCACGAAAATGACAACAAGATTCATACACATCTCGAATCCAGAATATTGTCATTTTCATATACAAAAGAAAAACAATTTGAAATTGCAAGTGTACAATGAGCACGTAGCATGTAGTGGTATATATGATATTAACAAACATTATCCAAACACCAAAAAGTCCAAGACAAGAGTTAATTCCAACATATGTTCAGCCAATTTTACAACCAAAGTGACCTGGTAAGAAATCAACACTAGGATCTAGGATTTATAACATAAACAGAGTTCAAGCAAACTTGGGTTCAGGGTTTCAAAGGTTCTTCAACCGGGTCTACTGATTTTACACCAACATTAGCACAATTACCCTGCTACAAACAGTAAAGCTAATTCTCAACACTAGGATGAAGTAGTGACATATCAGTTGCTTAGGGCTAATAGATGACTAGATTAATTAGTGTCCAAATGTCTAACTTTCATGACAAACATTACACATGCAATTTCAGATTATCCGATACCCAAAATAGCAATCCGAAATAAAAATAAAAAGGTTTATTAACATTCCAAATGAACAAGAAATATATCAAATTTAATTAGGTTTACATTGTACTGATTTAAATTAGAGCTCAAAAACAAGCTTTTTATCTTGTTTTAAAGAAAGGTCTGATTTCAAAACTACAACTAATGAGGATGTTTGACGCTATAACCAACAAAATCCAGCTGGGATTCCATTCAACAGTTACTGATTGCTTAACAAAACTGACAACTTCAATGTTCGAACTTCAATTCTTTTCGTCTCCAAATTATAATCGATGAAACAGAAGGGGAGTCGTACCAGTTGTACGGCGTGAAGGTGAAAGTTGAACCCTAGATCCCGTTTCGTCTCCGATGAAGGATAGAAAGGAGGGTTGCCGTCGAGAGCCTAGAAATTTGGATAGAGAAGAAAAGGAAGAAGCTTTCGTCAAATTCGGGTCAAAAAGGAGGTCAGTTTCGGGCTAAATCCCCATGAATTGGGCACATGAAATCAATGGAATCTTTACCTAAAAATGTACAAATTCGGGTCGGTTAATGAATCAGATTGAATGATGATTTCTAGGGCTCCAATAATATCATATCCTATTCAACCTTTCTCGGTCCGTAACCTAGTCCTACTAGATATTTTGATGAAACAGATGGGCCGGCCCATCAAAAGGATAGACACCTTCTTTAATCATTATTTAATTATTTTTTCTTTTCTTATTTTATTTTATAATCATTATTACTTAACTAGAAGTTTACTCACGCAACGTAGCAAGATACATCTTGATTTTAATATTTTATTTTTATTTTTTTATCTTAGTCGATGTTATAATATGGTCTTATGTGATTTTAAAAAAAAAAGATAATTTGAAGGTATCATAAAATTTGACAAAAATATATTGATATTAGTATCAAATTAACTATTTAAAATTTCTCATTTTTGTGTAATTTTTTAATTTAATTTTTTTATTATAACTTAGTTAGGTTCAATAACGAAGTAATTTATATTTCGTTTAATAATATAATTTTTTTATAAAGATAATAATTAATTATTTTGTTAAAACTTGATAAATATTCTAATTATATTTTAGATTTTTTTGATTTTAAAATAAGATGTTTATTTTCTATTTGATTGTGTTTTTCCATAGTTAGTTACACGAATCAAACATGGAGCTTTAATAAATTGAGCTTTAATAAATTGAGCTTTAATAAGTTGTACTTATGCATACTTTTTTTCTTACAAAGATAATAATTAATTATTTTGTTAGAACTTGATAATTATCCTAATTATATTTTAGATTTTAAAATGAGATGTTTATCCTCTATTTGATTATGTTTATTTGCAGTTAGTTATACGAATTCAAACATGAAGTTTTAATAAGCTGTACTTATGCAAAATTACTTGTAATCTTGAATTTTAAATGATATGCATGTAACACCCCCATTCCAAAATAAGGGAGATTACTTCAAAACGTAACGGAGCCGCTATATAAAACCTCTAAAATATATTCCCCAATACAAAGAAATAAAATAAAATCTTCCAATAACGAAATTGAATGTCTCCAAATAAAGAAA